TCTAATAAATAGAGTTGTACTACATGTCAAGAATTGCTGGGCCAAGCTGTATTCATGCAAAAAAATTTCTAAGAAAGGAAAAGGAAATAGAGAGAGGAAGGAGGCTGACTCAGTAGGAGGCTGTTTGTTAATTAGTAAATATGTACTATACACATATTGAGCCATGTGGCTGCTTTTTAAAAAAGCAAAGTACGTGGAGAAATTTCGGCTGTTTCCTGAAAATATGCTCACTTACACTTCCCCAATGGAAAGATTGTTTATTGACTATGAAAACTGAGGACTTTATTTTATTGAGAAGAAAGACATAAAATGGGGAAGGGGGACGTAAGTACTAGGGAGTCATCTCAGCAGCAAGCTGAAAAAGAGAAAATGTTCGGGGCTAAGGGCTTGTTCAACAGAAACATGTAGATCCATATTCTTACCAGAGCGGCATATCACATTTTTTTCTTCTTAGAAAATTTGCAAAATCAGAGTTGAGGACAAAATTTGGGCGTGGAGAGAGTGGGAGGTTAGTGACTGTTGTTGGCACCCTGTTAAGTTTTTCAAGTGTGTTTAAAATGTAGACAGTTTAAACAAGGACTGCCAGGATCACCAGGGTTTGGACTGTTGTCCAGGCCCTTAGCCCATGACCATGTCACCGAGTTCATGGACTTTTGTTTATTTACTCAACAAATATTTACTGAGAACATACTAAGAGCCAAATATTGTTCAAGGTGCTAAGAACACAGCAATGGGGAAAAAAACAGATTAATGTCTCTGCTCTAAAGGAATTTACATTTTCCTGGGGGGAGGCAGGACAATAAGCACATAAACAGGATTTTCAGATGGTGATAAGTGCCATGAAAAAACTAAACTAGGGTGATGTAATAGGGAATGACCTTGACAATCAGTAGAATAAGATCCCCTCCAAGGTGCCAGACTAGCTCCATTGGGGTATGAGCAATTAGAGTCCCTGTGGGGATCACGGACCATTCAAAATCCAAGTGTATACAGAAGACAGGGTATTCATCCCTATTGGACAACAACTTTAAAAGCTCCTGACTAGTCCTAGACCTATACTGGCTACAAAAGGCCCTTCATGATCCAGAAGCAACTGCTGTCCAATAGCTCTGAGATGCTCTGAAATTATAGGCCTCTTACAGCAGATGCTTTTGACTAAAATAACTGCTCCCTCCAAGCATGCCCTGATTTATGGCTGGCTTAGTTTTCTTGATTGCCTTAATGTTGTTGATATCAAATTCCATTTAACCTTGAGCCTCACCTCCTTTCTCTACTGCACTACCTAGGCTATCCAGCTTTCTTTCAGCAACAAGGCAAGCTTGACTAATCCTATTTTGGGCCTAACTCTGTCTAGTTGTAACTTGGATGAAACACGCTACTGACATGCCCCACAATTATGACATCCTTGGCAGAACCTGGTCATTGTTTTCCCCGTGCCAGCACCAAGACTTTTGCCAACTTGCCTATTTGCACAAACGCTCCAGCAGTGCTTTTTACATCTATACTATCTAGGATATTTTGCCAACTGAGGTTAAGATGTTATGCTTTGAACACTCGGTAGTAAAGGATCTTGACTAGGATATCTAAACCAAGATTGCTAATTTGCAGAGGAAAACCCTACCCATCAATACCAAAAATGTCAACTGTTTCAGAGGTATACCCATGGGCACAAGAATTCAAACTAAGTGACAGAAAAGTCTGACTTAGAAAGCAGTAATGGTTACTGGAGCAGCAGCACCAAGTCGGTGCCAAAATGGCTCCAGGGCAGGGCAGAGGCTCATGTTAAACTGAAATTACTCAGGAACAGAAACTAAGAGCCTTTTGAAATAAACCTGGCTGCCTAAAGGAGAAAGAAAGGTAGGGATGGATAGAAACATGCAGAGAAGAGAAATGGTGCTGCCTGCGAGAAAAAAAAAGAAAGGTAGCTTGTCTGAAGTCATGTTTTCTAGCAGTTATGAAGCCTAGTAGTACTATCTACAGTTGGATTATATGAGATTCCCACAGAGCCTTCAAATAAACTCCCTTTCACCTGGTCTATTAGAAAGTTTTTCTCAGCACCGTACGCAAATATTTTTGGAGTCAAAAGCTACGTGGCCATTTCAGGGTATCTCAGATTCTTTGGTATAATGATGACTCCCCAGCCTAATGAGTCTTAGGGAGTTATTCCCATGCTATTTGTGCTTCCTCCACCTGTGCCCATAGGTCTACCTCTCAGACAGTTGACATTTTTTGGTACTGAAGGGTAGTTTCTCTCTGCCAACTAGCAGGCCTAGAATTCAGCTATTTCCCTCAAGACTCTTCACCACTAAGTGTTCAAAGCATAACATCTTACCCTCAGATCCTCAGAAAAGAGAATCTGATTGGCCCAACTGTGCTTTGGCTTGTTTTTCTCTGAGTTATCTGTCTAGTCAGCTGTAGTAAGACCCTAGAGTTAAGTATCTTAAGACCCTGTGCTATACACATGGCAACCATGGGTGTGGTCCAGGGAGAGATTTTCTTAGATGGAGGTCAGGTGAGGTAGGCAATGATTAGCCAACAGGTCCAGTGACACTATAAAGTCCAGTCCTCACTCACAACTACCAATGAGGCCACACTTTCCAGGTCAATGACCATAAAGAATCTTGTGTCTCCAACTTATATGAATGCTTAAATTGTCCATTGTTAGTGAGCATGTAGTTCTAAATGTTTCTACTTCCCAAAGGCAAATCAGATTACAGACATGCTAAAGATAGATGTTTTGTAAATCTTGATCTAGCAGAATTAGTCTAGCTAAGCCAAAAGCTGTGAAGCAATGGTGAACAAGAATGTGAATAGAAAATAATTATAAGGAGCTGGAAAATGGTGGCAGGCTTGCTTGCACTTACATGTGCTGGTTCATCTCCTTAGAATGTCTTTCCTTCCACCATTTTGGCAAAGTCTCCCTAATTCTTCAAGACCTAGGTTAACCATCATTTCATCTGAAAGCCTTTTCTGAGACAGCCCAGTTTCTTTTCTTTCAGACAAAGATCATCAGTCTCTCTTTTGATCAAGTGCAACATGCACACCATTTCAATTTTTATTTCAGGAATCCTCATGCTAACTACATGTATTGCTTTACAACAGTGTGTCTGAAACGCTACTTTAAGTCCCTTCAAAGCAGAAACCCTGTCTTATTTGACTGCATGTTCTTGGGCAGCTCAGTGCCTGAAATAGAGTTGGTATTCAAGAATTGTTGATTGAATGAGGAAGAGTAAAAGAAAGTATATTATTAGTTTGGCACAAGTGTAGTCTGAAGAATATTCCAGATAACTGAAGTTTATACCTTCAGGAATCAAAACTTTTAAGATGCTTTATAAAGACAGAAATCCTTATAAATTGTCTTACAGATTTTTCTGCCTCATGAAACAAAACGAAACAACATCATAAATACTTTCTAATTTATTAAAATTCCTCATTGGATCAATTATTCTATTCTCTAATATATGCTTAAGAAAGCTTAGTTCAGGCACCACCTCCACCAGGAGGCCTTCTCCAGCCCTATCACATCAGACTTCCCTAGATACCATCTTAGATATTCACACAACCCACTTGTATAGTGCTTACAATACTTTATGGAAATTACCTGTTTATTCACATGATTCTACTACTTCATATGGTCACACGTGCTCTATTTCCCCCATTAGGCAGTGGGTGGCTCTGGGCACAGCACCCCACCTTATTCATCTTTTCATTGCCAGGGCCAAGCAGAGCACACCAGGTGTCCAACAAATGTTGAACTGGAATGAACGTAGTAGTATTATAAGAGGGTTTTGAAGTGTGTAAAACTACTGATCTCTACACTAAATTTTTCTCAGTTTTTTTCTATTTTATAGTATTAAATTTTTTTTATATTGCTTCTGTTTTTTTCCCAATTATATCATTTTACTCCATCAGGTTAACAATCTCTAGAAAGCCCTTTACATTCCTTTTATCAATCCAATGATTTCTAAATTTTTTAAAGAAAAGATTTTATTTTTTTATTTGACAGAGAGAGAGAGCACAAACAGGGGGAATGGCAGTCAGAGGAGGGAGAAGCAGGCTCCCTGCAGAGTAGGGAGCCTGATGCAGAACTCGATCCCAGTACCCAGGGATCATGAGCTGAGCTGAAAGCAGTCACTTGCTTAATTGACTAAGCCACCCAGGCACCCACCATTGAACCTTTAAGACTTGACTTTGGTAAATTAGAAAACCTTGTATCATTCTTCAGCCACAATATCACATATTAATAAAAATATTTTCAAACACTTGTTTTTCAAATACCTTTTCCATAATACCATTTCCCCAAAATTGTTTACTTTCTGATTTACTGTGAAAAAAGATTGCTTTACTTTGATAATTCCTAAAGAATAAGCGTGCTTGTTTTTAAATATTTGCTAAGTAGCACTTTATTGATAAGTCATTTGTCATCAGTGGAAAGGTTAGCAAATTTTAAACATTTATCTTTTTGTAAATAAAGAGCTTAATTTATCTTTAAATTCAACAGCAGCTTTAAGTATTTTTCAAAGAAATGACCAGTAAAATTCTCTGCGGTAGCAATTATCATCATTACTCTCTATTTCATTACAAAGGCATGTAAATATGTGACAATATTTTAAAGGTTCATGATTTTATGAAATTAAGAACCAGTGTTGATGCACTTCTGGCTTCAGTTTCTGTGATGAAAGAAAAGTTGCCTATGAATGATGCAGTTAAGCTATTTCTTTTTTTTTTTCAGTTAAGCTATTTCACATATAAAAACATTACCTAGAATATTTTTGAATTTTCACTTGCAGGCAAAATATCAGCTCCATCATAACATAGATCTCCCATGAAACATTTTAAAAAGAAACTCATTTTTTAATAAATTAATTTTTATTGGTGTTCAATTTACCAACATACAGAATAACACCCAGTGCTCATCCCGTCAAGTGTCCCCCTCAGTGCCCGTCACCCATTCACCCCCCCCCCGCCCTCCTCCCCTTCCACCACCCCTAGTTCGTTTCCCAGAGTTAGGAGTCTTTTTGTTCTGTCTCCCTTTCTGATATTTCCCACACATTTCTTCTCCCTTCCCTATATTCCCTTTCACTATTATTTATATTCCCCAAATGAATGAGAACATATAATGTTTGTCATTCTCCGATTGACTTACTTCACTCAGCATAATACCCTCCAGTTCCATCCACGTCGAAGCAAATGGTGGGTATTTGTCATTTCTAATGGCTGAGGAATATTCCATGGTATACATAGACCACATCTTCTTTATCCATTCATCTTTCGATGGACACCGAGGGTCCTTCCACAGTTTGGCTATTGTGGACATTGCTGCTAGAAACATCGGGGTGCAGGTGTCCCGGCGTTTCATTCCATCTGAATCTTTGGGGTAAATCCCCAACAGTGCAATTGCTGGGTCGTAGGGCAGGTCTATTTTTAACTCTTTGAGGAACCTCCACACAGTTTTCCAGAGTGGCTGCACCAGTTCACATTCCCACCAACAGTGTAAGAGGGTTCCCTTTTCTCCGCGTCCTCTCCAACATTTGTTGTTTCCTGCCTTGTTAATTTTCCCCATTCTCACTGGTGTGAGGTGGGATCTCATTGTGGTTTTGATTTGTATTTCCCTGATGGCAAGTGATGCAGAGCATTTTCTCATGTGCGTGTTGGCCATGTCTATGTCTTCCTCTGTGAGATTTCTGTTCATGTCTTTTGCCCATTTCATGATTGGATTGTTTCTTTGGTGTTGAGTTTAATAAGTTCTTTATAGATCTTGGAAACTAGCCCTTTATCTGATAGATCATTTGCAGATATCTTCTCCCATTCTGTAGGTTGTCTTTTAGTTTTGTTGACTGTATCCTTTGCTGTGCAAAAGCTTCTTATCTTGATGAAGTCCCAATAGTTCATTTTTGCTTTTGTTTCTTTTGCTTTCGTGGATGTATCTTGCAAGAAGTTACTGTGGCCAAGTTCAAAAAGGGTGTTGCCTGTGTTCTCCTCTAGGATTTTGATGGAATCTTGTCTCACATTTAGATCTTTCATCCATTAAAAATAAATTCAGTAAAGATTTTCTTATTGCTGAGAATTTACCGTTTTCAGTAAATTATTTCTTTAAAGTTTTTCTTTAATTTCTAGTCGGTTAGCATACTGTATAACATTAGTTTCAGGTGTACAATAAATTCTTCTTTTTTAAAAAAGATTTTATTTATTTATTAATGAGAGGCACAGAGAGAGAAAGAGGCAAGACACAGGCAGAGGGAGAATCAGGCTCCATGCAGGGAGCCTGACGTGGGACTTGATCCTGGGTCTCCAGGATCAGGTCCTAAGCTGAGGGAGGCGCTAAACTGCTGAGCCACCCAGGCTGCCCAAATTCTTCTTTTTGAGGCACAAAATTGTGATTCGATCATGAATTTTCTTTCTGAAATACAATCGAGAAAATACAATCTGAGACACAATAGAAATGCTGACATAGCCACACTATTCCACCACTCCATGAGTTCTAATGCTACATAATTTGTCTTACCTGTTTCTCAAAGTCTTCAGCTTCAACAATGTTTTCTATGTATTTTTCCAACACTGGTGACCAAAAAAAAAAAAAAAAAAAAAAAAAGATGTTAGTTTGCTGGCTTATTGCTTTATGAATTATTTCAGCCTTATACATTCTGGAAGGAAAAACAGTTTTCTAAGTGCTCCTCCCATTTTTTCCCTAGAAATTGTTTCTTCTCCATCAAACTTATCTCCATTTTGTTAGTCTTTGTGGAAGAGCAGCTTAAGACCACTCAGTGGTTGTTGCTGCCCATTCAGTGGCCTGAGCAGTGGGAGCTGCAGACCAGTCTGAGCACGCTCCAGTCTTCGGTAGGGAACTGCTGAATAGCCACAGAGGGCACCTGCACCCCTTCACGCCAGTCTGTGACTCCAGGTTGAGTAGCGGTGACCTCAGGAGCTGGAGCAGTCCACTCACCCTGAAACTCCTCCTTGGTCACAGTCTTTTGGGCAGCAGCCTGCTCTTCCTTTTCATTTCTTTGGGCTCTCTGTAGAAGTTGACAGCAGTGGTAACTTCCCACGGATGTTCAGGGGAAAGGGTGTCACGCATACGCAGAGCCTCCCAGGCCAGCATTCAATCACATCAGACTCACTGAGTGAGCTCCCTTTTGTTGCAAGGGATGTCAATGTCCACATGGTTCAGAGGAGCATCTGTGTCACACAGAGTGATGGTAGGTGAGTTGACATAACATGCCTCTTTGAGAGGCTGGAGTTGGTGCTGGATCAGTAGTCACCAGAAGTCTCAGTTCCCAGAAGGCTGCCTGGGTCTGGTTAGTGAAGTCTCCAGGAGTGGGGCAGTCAGCAACAGCAGTAGCTCTAGTAGCAGCAGCACACTTCAGCACAGCTCACTGGCCAGGGATATGACATTGACATGAGCCAGGTTCTCAGTGGCACCAATGGTATAAGCTGCCAGCAGAAGCTTTTCCCAGGTTCTCTTCAGATTTATGATACAGATGCCATCACATTTCCTTTTGTAGATGTACTGTTTCAATTGGAAATCAAGGTTGGTGCCAACCAAGTAGGTTCCTGCTGCAAGGAATTTGAGGACATCCTCCTCCTTCGTTTGCAGCCATCAAGTGCTCCGGATATTGTGAAAGATTCTCTTTAAGACAATGCTATATAGACCCCTCCCTGCATGATGTGGAAAGCCCAAGAGGTCTTTTGTAATAAATAAACTTCTAAACATTTGTTATTAAGTTTAGTGACGTTTCACTAAGTGCCAGATTGAGTAACACTTGACTTTGAAGACTTCTGAAAAAATTGCAAAAGATCGTCTTTATGTTTTGGATGCTTAGTTTTTTAATGTCTTGCTAATTGTGAGCTATCTCAAGGCACAGTATATGACATGAGGATCTTCATTAATAATAACAACACAAAAAATCCGGACTTCAAACAGTTTCATCATAACTTTGAATCTGAGAGGAGGGAACTTTTGGTTATATCTGAATAAATCTTGTTTAATACTGTAATTGCCAAAAAGCATGTTCACAAAGAAAAGCGTCACAGCTAAGATTTTCTTTTTAGTCCAATTGTGCTTGTATTATTAATTTTATCTGCTGTTCCTTTGGAGGATTTTTTGAGTCATTTGTCTATTTCATGAAGGTTAGTTTAGTTAGAACTTAAAGCAGCCCAGATAACCCACTATGCCTCATGAAAAAGAAATGGAAGGAGGTGCCTTTTGTTCTGGGAAATGCAATTCCCACTCCTTTCCTCCCATGTGATACCATGTTAAATCCTAATATCAGACATCTACAGGCTACAGACTATGATGGCCTGTTGTCAATCTTTTTTGTTAAAGGTTACTAAGAACTAGTTTCTTTTTAAATAAGTAGAAGTTTTAACATTTTCTTCTCAAACTACAATGGATTGCCTGGTGCTCCTCTGAAGTTCACACACCTCAGTTTGGCGTAACTGTTCTAACGTTTGGCTGAGAGAAAACATGCCAACCCTTTGAAAGATTTCCATCCACTGCAGTCCTGAGATTCATTACCTTGAGCACCAGAATGTATCATTTTTTGTTTGGCATTATTTTCATTGTAAATATATTTGTCTTGTCTCCTCAGCTAAATTATAAGTAACTGGGAGTCATAGTATTCTTCACATTACCAAGCATAGTACTTTGTCTGAAAGATATATGATACCTATGTTTTCTTGTGCTAAATGATTAGCTTCTCATGTGCTATTGTCTTGTTTGTCTGAATTGCAATTTCTGTAAGGACAGGAAACTTTATTCTTCTTCCAATCCCCCACCTCTGCCACATGACTTACATGAACTTTTTAATGAATATTTGTTGACTAAAATCAGATAACTCAATAGATTTGACTAATAACCTCATTTTGCACAGAAATTAAGCCAATAAACTATGGATCTGGGCTGTAATAAAATTCATTTATTCTTTCATTCATTCAATCAAGTGATGTTTATAGTGTATTTTCTATGTACCACATAGTAATTATAATTATGGCATAGCAAAACAGAAAGTAGAGACCACAAACTAAAAATATGATAGAGTAAACATGCTGTATTATCATTACATATAATCATCAGTAATCCATATTGAATAAAAGCTAAAAGAAGCTGTTAAACACTCTCCTAGGGACACCTGGGTTGCTCAGTGGTTTGGCGCCTGTCTTCAGCCCAGGGCATGATCCTGGAGACTCAGGATTGAGTCCTGCGTCGGGCTCCCTGCATGGAGCCTGCTTCTCTCTCTCTGCCTCTCTCTCTCTGTATCTTTCATGAATAAATAAATAAAACTTTTTAAAAAAATAAATAAATAAACACTCTCCTAAAACTATTCAATTTTGTATGTAACATCCAGTGTGCTTGTAAATTATTTATGTAATACTGGTCTGTTTTCCTTATACTGGAAAATAAGTTCCACTGAGGCTCAGACCAAGTCTGACTTGTTACTACTCTACCCTGGGGTGTAGCACAATGCTGGCACATAATCAAGTATTCAATAAGTGTATCTTGGATGAATACATAGATGAGTATATAGGGAGAAAAACAATACTAATGGTTGCATATATTTTAAAATCCCAAAATAGGGAGAGTTATAAAACAGAAGATTAAGCTTTTATTGAAGATAACTAGGAAAGACAAATTATTCAAGAAAATTACTCTATGAGTAAATTAAAAAGAGTAATTTAAAACATAAATTTCTGTTGAATTTTGGCAAAGGCTGACAGGTTCAAAAATTCAGTAATTTGTTCAACAAATATTTACTGAATGTGTATGAAATGTCAGGCACTGTACTAGGTGCTGCAATGCAGAGGAGTAAGATAAATTTGTGCTCTGTCCATATGGAGTTTACAGATAGGTGGAAGGTACTAAAAGGCACAAAGATCATTTTTCCAATATGTAAAATAAAACAAAAATCTCTATTACTAAAAATAATTGCATATTTGATAACACAGGGAAATATCTAAGAAGTCTTTGATTTATTTTGGCATACATATGTATTTTGGTTACATATATGTAACTTCAAGCCCATATTATGTTCTGTGATTTCCTCTATAACTGATACTGTTCTACACTCCAGATCATTGTTCATGCTTTGCGCTTGCTGGAACTCTTTCCACTTATCCTTTAAATTTCTTAGTCAAATACAGCCCCTACCCACCACCTGATACCCCCTCAACCATCTTTGTGTGCATGACCCTTCATTGTACTTACAACAGCATTTATTTGTCTGTCATGATTTGTCTGTCTCTTTTCCGAACTCTAAGTGTTTCTAGGGCAGAGGCTAGTTTTCACTGATTTTGTATTTATGATGGCTAGTACATAATAAATGATCAATAAATGTTTGTTAACTAGAGCTGAAACTCCTATTTTCTATTTAGAAACCTGTATCTATCTAATATATCTAATAGGACTTCACCTGACAGAGTGTGTTTCCAAGATGTCTTTAAAAGACATTCTACAATCTACTAGTCATCAGGAAAAATCATAGCTACAAGCATTCACACACCTGATTACATTCTCACTTTTCACTAACAACCTAAACCCACATGAGAATTTGAGGCAGAGAATGTAATGTATCTTTACCATCCTGATCACATAAATTCCATTTATCTTCTTAACACTTCAAGTACCAAAAGGCTGCATAATAAGCAAAGTTACACTTCTTTTTTGGCAAGTCTAGTGTCTAAGACGCTGCTGAAGTGCTACAGGGGAACATTCTCTGTACCACTACCTGTCCTGGGGTAATAAATGAGTTTTTCCAGAGACAGAAGATTAGAATACAAAAAGAGCTATGAATATATGAAAATATCCACCATCTGTGAATATTATCTCTGACTTGGTACCTCAGGTACATAGCGAGGTCCCCTCATTGATTAATTAATATGTTGGTATCTCTGTATTATTTGTTGCCACAATAATGTTTCATACCAAGCCATCCAAAACCATCGTCTTATAATAAACATTTATCTCATTCACTACAGGTTGTTGACATTGGAGAGGTTTATCTGGAAGCTTCTTCTGATCTCATCTGGATTTCCTTATGTATCTGAGGGCTGGCTGGCAACTGGCTGAACCAGGATGGCCCTAACTCAGATGTCTGAAACAACTTAACCCTGTTCCACATGTCTGCTACAACCTTCCTGCAGGCCAGCTGGGCATGTTCTCATGGCATAGCACAGGGGAATAGTGAGTAGACCCAATCATACAAGAAGGCAACAGAAAAGCATATGCACCTTTCTATAAAGTCTAGGTTTGTGTCATGTTAGCTAACATCCTATTGACCAAAACAAGTCACATGCCCAAGCATAGAGTCAGAGTGAGATGGAACTTTAAAGTCATAGGAAAAATATGGTGGATTCAAAGAAGTCATTAAGTGGGGTCATTAACACAATCAACCTGGATCCCTGAAATCTACCATGATCCTAAATTTTAAAAACCTGTGCAAGAAAAATTGCATGATATTTCCATGTAATGAATTCTGGATAGTTTAGGAAGTAAAGTTCCCTAAGAAATATACTACATTGGTTTAAAGTTTTGAATTTTATTTGAAATTTGGCATTCAGTTTCACAAAGCTACAGATTATTAAAAATATATTCTCCATCTGATATAGTCTCATCAAATATAGGTAAAGGAAAACTATGCAATAATAGCAACTATAAATTACAAGTGATTTTGTGAAATCCAGCAAAGTAAAACTGTTAAGACAGATAATAATGAAGGTCCACTAAAGAAAGAAGTAGGATGTAACAGAAAAATATGTAATCTACAAAAATAGTGTGCACGTGCATATATGCACACACACACACACACACACGAAATATTATAGCCAGATAGGTTCTCTCCCATATGGCTGAACTCATCCCTGCTTCCAGTGACTGTTCTGATCTCACTGCCATTTCCCACTACCTGTTTTTACTTTTACCTCTTGACTTCTGTTACTATTTCTTTCCATAAAGACTCTGTTTCCATGTCATTCTGTTACCTGTATCTCTCTGAGTGTCTAATACTGCCATCATCTTTCAGGAGGGCGTTGGCAAAGCCTTTATTCCAGGCCATGTCTTAAGCTACAGGCTAATTTTTAAATGAATATCTTTGGCTCCAGAACCCATCATTGTTCTGCTCAGCTATTGTCCAGTGTCAGTGTTTTTGGGTAAAAATGAATCCCTCAGTTGAAGCTATACATATTTCATGCACTTTGTGGCCTCTCAAAGGAAGGTAGCCTAATGTAAAGAGCTCTCAGTACACTGTTTAATATAAAAACACTACAAACGAGAAAAGATGAATCCAGTAATGCAAAGATATATCACTACAAGGAAACCTGTTTATAAAATTCTAGTGTGTGTTTTATTTTCAACACTAAGCAATTCTCCAATTCTCAGGGGACACTGGCAGGATATCTGACAATTTAACTCAATTCTTTAGTTATCTACCTGGAGATAGCATCAGATCCCATAGATTATGAGATGAGTCATATAAGACTGCCCCCTGTTTCTCTATAGGTGTCAGTCACAGGTCCAGGTTGTCACCTGTTTTTCTAACCTACTGGCTAGAGATTGGAGGTTCCCGTGATTTCCTCTTTGGGTTCGATAAATATGCT